ATACAGTTAAGAAATAACAACTGCATTTCTTTGAAAGTATAATTTTAATAACATACTTATTTTTTCAGAAGTAATATGTGTATCATATAAGAGCTAATACTCTTCTTAGACATTAATAGATGATATATTATTTTTCTACTGCACAGTAATATATTCACTTAATTTATTTCTGCCCATTATGTCAGTCTGAAGCCTCCTGTGTGAGTTCCACACGTCTGTTGTGTTAATCATCAAGACAAAGACTTCGATACACTATTAATCATATTACAATGGTGCAACATACAACATGCAGTGGGTGGTAGAAATTTGTTACAAATTCCCACATACAGACACACACATACACACATATACAATCTTAACATAAAAATTAGCAAAATATAAACTTCTCGTCACCGCCCATCAGTGAAACAGTGCTTTTCTCTTATCTTTATAATTTGCATGTAAATTAAACTGTCCCTGCCATCAGTTTTGGTAGCAAAATTAATTTCTGTTTAAAACTATGGAAGAATGGCATAAATTATATTAATAACATTTAGAATGTGATATTCACTGTTAATTAGTTTTTTATGTAGAAACGAACGTCTTCACACTGGGCATGTCGGATATTCCGCTTGTTTTATAAATGTTTAAATAACTTTGTTGATTTTCCAGTCTGTTTTAGGCTTCATGTTCCTTTGATTTATGTGCAAGGATGTAGATGCTAAAACAATCTCTTCTCAGTACATTTTAGTGGTAAAGTTGTTCAGAGTTTCCTAATAGGTTTGTTCCCATAACTACATTGCAAAATTACACTCCATATCTGTGGCTCTCAATTTCTTATGCAGTAATGAATCTTGACATGTGATGTCGTAGGGGCCGGAATTCACAAATGGATTTTTCTGGTTTCATTGTTTTTGAAAGCGTGCTGCAGTTTTGTTTGAAGTATCCTTCCCTTCCAGTTTTACATTTCATTAGACTGAAGCAAGATTTCACGCTTTCTTGGCAAATAAATACACTGAAACTTCTCAGGTGAACAGCTGTGTCAAAGTTGAGTTAAAAACCATGCTGAAGATAGAGAAAGTATCTGGTCACCTTTGACACAGCTGATTGAAGATGAGGATTTTAGTCAATTGTACATACTAGAATTTATTTTTAGTATAGGGCAAGGGTCGGTGTATCGTTGTTAACACAGATACTAAGATAGTTTGGAAATTTCTTAGAATAAATGTGTATAGTATTGCATCTTTGCAAGAAGTGTGGATATTTGTTTGTACCAGTAGTATGCTTCTTAACTGATGCATGATGACAGTCACCAACTACAGATCTCTTTTCTCAAAAATTCACATCGTCAGACACCCCTTTCATCAATTCAGAATACAAATAGACCGAAGATTAGGCCAGCCAATTTTATTTGCAAGTGCAGATGCAGACTCATGGGTGAAAATATGGATGTAACATATCAATTACTGTCTGTTAATTTATTAAATATTTTCATATCACCTGCACTGAATGGAAAATGACAGCACATCTGTGACTGACGATTTTGGAAGTAGAATTTGTGATACTAAGAGAGATGAAGTAACAAAGTAAATGGAGAAAAGTACATAATGAGGAGTTTTGCAGTTTTTACTCTTCTCCAACTGTTGTCAAGGTTATTAAATCAAGGAGGTTGAAGTAGGTGGCACAGGGAGCTCAGATATGCGGAAACAATTTTGATTTTAAGATCTTGGGACTCAGATGCAGACAGGAAGACAAGAAATCAGTTTTTTGGCTGTGGACTGGACTGAATGGGCTTGCACGCTCTGGTGTTAATAGTGAAAGAGTTCTTTTATCTATAACAGAGAACTTAAACACCATAAAAGCTGTAAACTGCTCAGGGAATGCTCTGTACAGTGCAGTAAGTGTTAATAGAAGTAGAAGGAAGTCATTATGATTCATGTGGAGGTAATGAGAAAAATCACATAATACTGATCAAGATATCCAGCCTTCAGAATACATGGATGTGAACAAATATTTTATACAATTAATTTGTATAAGATAATGTTTAATTGTAAAATTTTTATAACTCTGCTTGCCATGATGAACAAACAGCAGGTTAGATTTCAGGATCTCATGGTAGCAAGTATGAAGATGAGTGTCTTCTGGGATGTTGGACCATGTAGTCTGGTAGAAGTTTACGTATGTTTCAGAGGTGTGTGCCGCCTCCATCATCATCGTGATGACACATTGTTCTGATGACAGAGACCACAAGTACCTATGAAACGTTGGTAAACTTCTGCTAGGCTTCGTGAGGCAAGATCACGGTTAGACATTCATCTTCGAAAAACAGCTTCTTTAAAACCAGGCATTTATCGTAAATTAGAATCAGTCTCTGAAGTCATGTAGTGTGCTGATCCTTTCTGGTCTGGGTTGGGGTGTCAAATACTACTTACAGTAGCGTGAGAGATGCTGAAAAGCGTATGTCCTAAGTGACAGTACGTCCGTCAGTAAACCACGTAATTTTCTTGTTTTGACACGTGTTTCCATTTTTAATTCTTCTATGTCTCTATACCTGCATATTTATATCACTTGCATCTTGCAGGGGTAAGTAAAAATCAGTCAATAGTAGACACACCCTCTCCTGAGACACTGGTGTGTTGTTTTGTATAAAATTAATGCATATATTGGCATACTGCACTTCCTTCTGATTCTCATAAACACATTTTACATACATGTGCTAGGCATCCAATAAGCAGTGGTACGCTACTGAGGTCACCAAATGATGCGTGTCAAGTAATAGTAACAATTCTACATCCTGTGTGCCATACGAATTTGACAGTATTGATATTTTACAGCGCAGACGTGCTTGAACATTATCGAGCAATTTTCTATTTGATAAAGATTTCTGTCTTCTGGGTTGTGGCGCTGTGTAGTCTGGTCGATGTTTACCAACGTTTCAGAGGTCATAGTGCCTCCATCATCAGGGCGATGAATAGCCCTGATGACGGAGGGAGTATGACCTCTGAAACGTTGGTAAACTTCTACCAGACTAAACAGCGCAACAACCCAGAAGACAGAAATCTTCATACTCTGATGACGGAGGCAGTATGACCTCTGAAACGTTGGTAAACTTCTACCAGACTAAACAGCGCAACAACCCAGAAGACAGAAATCTTCATACTCTGATGACGGAGGCAGTATGACCTCTGAAACGTTGGTAAACTTCTACCAGACTAAACAGCGCAACAACCCAGAAGACAGAAATCTTCATACTCTGATGACGGAGGCAGTATGACCTCTGAAACGTTGGTAAACTTCTACCAGACTAAACAGCGCAACAACCCAGAAGACAGAAATCTTCATACTCTGATGACGGAGGCAGTATGACCTCTGAAACGTTGGTAAACTTCTACCAGACTAAACAGCGCAACAACCCAGAAGACAGAAATCTTCATACTCTGATGACGGAGGCAGTATGACCTCTGAAACGTTGGTAAACTTCTACCAGACTAAACAGCGCAACAACCCAGAAGACAGAAATCTTCATACTCTGATGACGGAGGCAGTATGACCTCTGAAACGTTGGTAAACTTCTACCAGACTAAACAGCGCAACAACCCAGAAGACAGAAATCTTCATACTCTGATGACGGAGGCAGTATGACCTCTGAAACGTTGGTAAACTTCTACCAGACTAAACAGCGCAACAACCCAGAAGACAGAAATCTTCATACTCTGATGACGGAGGCAGTATGACCTCTGAAACGTTGGTAAACTTCTACCAGACTAAACAGCGCAACAACCCAGAAGACAGAAATCTTCATACTCTGATGACGGAGGCAGTATGACCTCTGAAACGTTGGTAAACTTCTACCAGACTAAACAGCGCAACAACCCAGAAGACAGAAATCTTCATACTCTGATGACGGAGGCAGTATGACCTCTGAAACGTTGGTAAACTTCTACCAGACTAAACAGCGCAACAACCCAGAAGACAGAAATCTTCATACTCTGATGACGGAGGCAGTATGACCTCTGAAACGTTGGTAAACTTCTACCAGACTAAACAGCGCAACAACCCAGAAGACAGAAATCTTCATACTCTGATGACGGAGGCAGTATGACCTCTGAAACGTTGGTAAACTTCTACCAGACTAAACAGCGCAACAACCCAGAAGACAGAAATCTTCATACTCTGATGACGGAGGCAGTATGACCTCTGAAACGTTGGTAAACTTCTACCAGACTAAACAGCGCAACAACCCAGAAGACAGAAATCTTCATACTCTGATGACGGAGGCAGTATGACCTCTGAAACGTTGGTAAACTTCTACCAGACTAAACAGCGCAACAACCCAGAAGACAGAAATCTTCATACTCTGATGACGGAGGCAGTATGACCTCTGAAACGTTGGTAAACTTCTACCAGACTAAACAGCGCAACAACCCAGAAGACAGAAATCTTCATACTCTGATGACGGAGGCAGTATGACCTCTGAAACGTTGGTAAACTTCTACCAGACTAAACAGCGCAACAACCCAGAAGACAGAAATCTTCATACTCTGATGACGGAGGCAGTATGACCTCTGAAACGTTGGTAAACTTCTACCAGACTAAACAGCGCAACAACCCAGAAGACAGAAATCTTCATACTCACCTCTGTGAAAACCTCAAATCTTACTTTCTATTTGATACTGTGTCAGCATGCTATGTGGCTGTTAGTATAAGTTAGTGATAATATTAGATGTTTTTCTCCCTGCTGTCAAATTTAACAGTTTAAATTTTAATGAGTACATTGCTGTTTGCATGTTCGCTGTAAGCATTATAAAGTAGTAAATTAAAATCGTACGACAAATACAAATTTAAATATCTCGGCGGACAGTAGCTGTTTATTTCATGTGTAAGTGATCTGAAAGATTCGGTTAATAATAGTGAAAACATAAATATGCATCCTATGGTAAACAGGTTCAATGTTTTCCCTTCCGAACAGTTTTACTTTCTTCCCATCCCTGAACATTCAAACTTTTGATTGAAAAATATGATAGTTGTCTTCTGTGCCACCAGTTTAATGTTTCTAAATATAAACTGTTTAGCAATACAGTTAGCACTGTATTTAATGTGAACTCTCCCTGTTACTCCATATATTATTAATACTTTGTTTTGCCTGGCATCGCTTTGGCATGAAGTTGAGCTATGGTTGGTTGGCTCACAGGTTCAGTAGGCGATTCAGAATCAGAACTTGTGCTCTGAAATGCATGATTTGTGGTAGTGGCTGGCTCACTGTTGGTTCCTCCACTTACCAATATGCTGCCAGGTGGCCCCACTGTCATATCTTTGATGAGTTTCGCTATGGAGGACGCCTTCAGTGCTGTTCCTTTAGTGTCATTACCATTATCTGCATCAGCATTGTCATTTTTCTGATGCTTGTCATTGCCGTCGGCTTCTTCGTCTTCCAGACTTGAGTAACTTGCGGTGGTTGCGTCTGAGTCAGACTCAGATGACCTTGTGGGTTTCTCTTCACCGTCGCTGCTCGAGTCGTCATTCCCACTGCCATTGTCTTCGCTTCTTTCACTATTGCTAGTGCTGTTGGATGATTCCTGCTCCTCCACTAGAAACACACATTCAATTCTTAATAATATGAAAGACAAACCACGTGTCCGCGGGTTAGGCAACAAATATAACACACTTGTGTACTCTGAAGTAAAGTAAAGCTGTCCCACTATGCTCCATGTAGGCTCTTGGGGGGAGGAGTATAGGTCCTACTCATTCTTGACCTTGGCACTAGATGGGGGTGAGTGGTCAGCATCACGCCCCGGCCACACTTTACCCCCGGGAAAGGACCCCAGTACCCATTGGATCGTGTACCCTAATCAGTTTGATTATTTCAGTTCATCATATATACTGAAATTGAACTGAACTGTTAACATTTATTTGAACTAATTGTTACTGATATTTGTGGAGGTGACTGGCTGGATTAAATTATTTAATTAAATGTTATGCATTTGACAGTATTTTATCTGGTTCATCCCCTATCCTTTTTCTTCCTATTTTTGTTGATATAACTTCTGACACATTAATGGCAAATGTTATATGTATTTGTAGGTCAATGTAGTTTATTAAATTTCTGTGTATTTATAACTATATTTAACTGAATAGTAAGCTGTATATATTTTCTCTTGTTATCGTTCTAGTTGCCCTTTGGATGTGTATAATCACTCATAGTGGATCTTGACAAGTGTCTGTTACAGACTGGTTGCAAGAAGAAAAAGAAGAAAGTTTGTAATTTGAAATACACATCAGTAATGAACATAACAGACACAGTTTGAAAGAGTGCAATCGAGATTCCGCAGTGCCCCTCAAAGTGATTCATCATAATTTTTTTAAGTAGGCAACACAGAACCTCTTTGATCGGCTTCTCTGTTTAAATTGACACGGCCTGAAACACCAGGAGCTTAGTAGCCTATACTAATGAAATCAACAATATTATTAACGATAATTATCTAGTAGTGATGGCAATGTCAAAGATAAGTATAACCTTAACCTACTTCAGGTACATAAATTGTGAATGCTGTGCTCAGGGTTCTTATTTCATTAATCTGGTAAGTGGCTCTTGGAAGGGAAAGCAGACGTTATGAGATAGTTCCCTATCCTCTTGAATTACACACTCGTCTGCATACTTTGTTTCAATAATTTATGAATTGTGAATATTATACTCACTGAGATGCAACTTCTCAACAATTAATGGATAGAATTCTTTGGCAGTAGCATTGTTGGGTTCATATTGCAGAACTGAAACAAGAAACAGTATAATCAGGTGTATAATGTCAATATTACGAAGAGAGCGTTGTTGGGGGGGGGGACATAGATATGTGTTCAATACATTTTTCTGTTTCCTATAAAGACAAATTTACATGTAATTAAAATAAGTTATTTTATTAATCCCCACACCAAATTGGTGAATCTGTTATATTGCTAGTAAGAAACTTCAAATGCAGTTAATTTGCATCCTTAACACAAACTCTTCTTTCCATCGCTCAAGAATGCCACAAGCAATGCTTATTTTACAGTCCGAGATGTTCTAATCTTTGTCATGAAGCCTTTCTCTGGCTACATTATAAAAGGATTTGTAATGTATTTTGTGTATATGCCACTCGAAATAACAAGTTTTGTTGTACTCGGTTTTAACAACACTGAAAACAGGTAAATGATCAGACTTACTCAGTTTGCAGTATTTGAGGGCTGTTTCATAATCTTTTAGCATTACTGCAGACAGGAACTGTGTAAAAAGCAAGACATGTCATGTTATATTAGCAACACAATAAATGATAGAATAATAACCATATTTTATCGTACTGAAGTCCGTGTTTACTTACCATTAATATTGTAAGTCTAAAATTTTGTTTCATTCTATTGAAATCTGCATCATTTATACTAAAAACAAAATATTTCCTCACACAGAACTTATATTTGTTAAATAACATTCTAGAAGTGTATTTTTATACATTGATAACCTTCAATCTTATATCATAATCATTAAATCTGATAACAGCTGCTTAACATAGTTGAGTAGGGTGAAACTGTTGGTATGAAGTTCAATGAATAATTGAAACGTAGAAGCCCAATAATGTATGGGTTTAAATCCCATTATTCCAGTATCTTAAAGGTTAATATTCTCATTGCAAGACTAACTTGACCGTAGTGTTTAAGGTCGTATAAAGCATTTGCATTCTGAAATCTTTTGCCATGGATTTTACCCTTGAAAAAAACTGTGCTTGAAATAACATCATTCATCCTCTTTGCTGTTGCCTAAAGATGGCAGTGAATTAAATATCAGTTTCTGTCAGCTATGAAAGTAATTAATTTTTTCCATTTATAGAGTTTACCTTTTTCGAACGATACAACTTAAGTGATCACCATTTTTAACAAATAATTCCACTCATTACGATCACCTAACATGATAAGTCTTGCAACCACAAACTCATCCTGTTTGAGATGAACCACTACTATCAAGGTCTCATCTGTACGTAAGTTGGTTTTTTTTTTT